CACTGAGTGATGAGACCGCTGTCTGTGCGAAACGTAGGAAGACCCAGAGACATAAACATTAGTCCTCGAGGTAAATATACACAGTTAGCTCTTCAAACACTCCAGTTCCCTCGTGCACATCATGGACTCTGATGGCCTTGCCCCAAGAGAATTAAAACCAAAGGCCAAGAGTTTCTGGAGCATCACAGGCAGAGGGACCCCTGGCATCCCCACCACAGCCCTGCGAGCCCCGAGGGGACGCAGGCTCTCCACGCACATCTTCGCGGGACTGATCCCAGAGTCCCACAGGCGTGGCTGCCAGCCCAGCGCCCATTTCCAGCCTGTGTTGTGTTACCGAATCGGAACACAGTCACCAGCCCGTGAGCCCCTTTGTTTAGAATGAGAAATATTGAAAATATGGAAATATGAAAATAAATATATTAAATATGTAAATACAGAGAAGATAGAAAAATTGGAGTTAGTACATAGAGTTGAGATTTTGTTTTTATCTTAAGACTAGAAAGCTTCATTCTTTTTCCCGAAGGCTTCTTTTTGGGAGGGGGACCTCACTCGTGGTCTCCAGCGTGGACTTAACAATGGTGAGTAGCCGTGGGCCTCGCAGAAGTCTGGGCACCTCTCAGTGGCCAGAGGCCCGCGCCTCACGCCCCGTCCCAACACAGCGCTCAGACCCGGGGCTGGTTGTTCCCCGCTTCCTGCCGTGGCCGCCAGACACAGCCCTGATCCTCTGCGAGGGCTGCTGGGCTTGGACGACTGAAGCAAAGCCCGTGTCCTGCAAAGGAGGTTCTCTGCATGCTTGCTGTGCTGGCTGAGGCCCATTGAACCCAGGCCGGGCCCCCCAGAATACTGCACCCTCCCCGATGCCCCTGAGCTCTTCCCTGGTCCACGGGCAAAGCCTGGCCCCTTGGACCCCCACAGTGCACATGGGACACTCGATCGTAAGTCAGATTGTGTCATCCTCCAAATCCCCCCAAAGGCTTCTGGTTTCCCTTCAGGTAAAGTCCACGTGCCTTCCTGTGGCCGCCAGGACCCCACGCAGCTGGAGGGGGTCCACCGCTGTCCGGCTGCTATGCTCCCCTCACGGTGACCTAGGGCCGGGCTGGCAGCGTGTGGCCAGTGGGGAGGGCCCCAGGTCTCTGAGCGCTTCTGCTCTGTACGTCTTCCCTCTGCATCACGGGAGGCCTTCCTTCATCTCAGCATCAGCGTTTGCGGCTGCTCCGATATTTTCTTTTCTCTGCCAGATTCTCTGTTGTAAACAATATCAAAGCAACTTTATTTCTTGTTTTTATAAATAACCACCTCCATCAATTTCCTATACCTTTGAAATAATAAACACAAAACCAGGCAGCCGAGACTTTAAACCAGTCATAGTTAGATGCTCAGAAGCTGATTAGCGTCGATACCCCTGACACCTCCCACCCCACGAAGCCACTTGAAACTGCAGGAGCCGTCAGTAGACCTGGCCCCTTCCGGTTCCCTGGCCCGGAAGCCCACGTGACACCAGGTGTCTGTGTTGGCTGACCTGGGTCCAAAAATACGGAAGTCGTTGTGTGATGATGTCTGAGGAAAGCACCATCATTCTGCTTCCTTTTGGTGGCACCCAAGCCCTGAGCGAGCCACGTGGCAGCACAGAAGTGAACGCTCGTTAGGGTGCACAGGGTGGGTTTTAGGGTGTGACTCAGGCGGCGTCCCGCAGATACCTCAGTTTGTATTTGAAAGAAAAAGAGAAAAGAAGAAACTAATTTCTATACCAAAAGTTTCTGTTTTTTAAAATAAGGACATTTCATAGAAAGCGAAGAACGTGTTCATCTTACGACTCAGCAGATGAAATGATTGTTAAAATGTCACAGCGTAAACCAGGTTCCCAGGACCCCAGTGCGTGGGGCAGACAGCGTGGCTGCGCCCGAGACCGGGGCGTGGCCGGTGGCCAGGGCGGCGTACTTCATGCGGCCCCCACCAAACCAGGATTAGTGCTCAAGTGTTTTCACAGAAATCGCACTGAGCACCGAGGATTTTACTTGGACTGTGCAGATGAATGGGCACCGCCGGGCTGAGCCGCAGACGTGTAAACAAAGTGCCGTGGGAATTCTGCTCCGGCTTCGCACAGGGCAGCCTGGCTTCCTCTCTCTGTGATGCTTCTCCAAGTGGCTGTCAGCCGTGTGCCTGTGGACCACAGGACGCTCGCCCGGCCTGCCCCCTGCGGGGCCGCCCCTCGCTCAGCTGGAGAGCATACTCGTGCGGACAACCGTCCCCGTGTGAACAGTGATTTTGTGTCACGTCGTGGAGCCTGCAGGCTGTGGTTTTAACAACACAAGATCCAGGGCCACTGTGCAGGGTGAGGAGGAGGCAAGCCCAGGAGCGAGACCCGTGCAGGGGTGCAGCTTTGTCAGCACGTGGCCCCAGAGCTCCCCGCCACCCTGGGCTGCAGGCAGGTCTGCAGGCCCCCGAGAAGCCCACTGCCACCTGGCCTGTCTGCTCCCGGCCGGCGGCCCATCCCCAGGGAGGAACCCGACTGTCTGTGTGATGGCGGCCCGTCCCCAGGGAGGCTGTGCGTCTGTCTGTCACAGTGGCCCCATCCGGGGAGAGGAGCCCTGCCGTCTGGGGGCAGCTCGCTTCTGTCTCAGGCCTGTTGCTGCTTTCATACATTTCCGAGGACCTGATCCATTTCACGGTGACATTTCCATTCTTGTACATCTGTCACTTCCACGCAAGGAAAATTTACTCAATGGGTTATGAATTTTTTTTCTGTTTTCTTCCCATTTTGCATTTTCATTTGTCTTTTTTCCTCAGAACTATTTTTGAGCTGCAGCCCTGTCACCCAGTGACACCCTCATCGCAAGGTGACTGGCGAGGGGACCTCCTCTCTGCTCCCGGAGGAGAGTCCTCTCAGAAGTAGCCCCCCGAGCACTGCCACGGAGGGCTCGCAGTCTGCCAACCAGGCCGGCCGCTTTTACCGGCAGCCCCTCCCAATCCTCCCCATCCCCCCCCACCCTCAGTCTAACCGACCTGTCTTACCCGCCCCTCGACTCAGGGGGACCGTGGGACTGTGCTCCCCCCGCCCTACCCACAGTGAAACCCACTTCCCCCCTGATGCAGATGGCACCCCCATTCCTGTCTCCCCAGCTGTTACCCTCGGAGTGGCAGCCGTGTGCCCCCAAGTCTGGGGTAGGTCAGGACCGTGTGCACAGGTGATTGCTGCCACTGGACCCAGCGCCTTTGCGGGGCTCACCAGTGTCCGCGGAGCCAGTGCAGTAGCGTGAGCAGGCAGATGGTGTGTGTGTGTGTGCGTGTGCGCGCGCGAATGATCCCTGCTAACGCCGCCCAGTGCGGGACCAGATGTGCTCAAGGAAGGCCTTGCAGGTCTGGCGGCTTTGTCTTTGTGAGACAAATGCATTTTTTAAATTTTCTTTATTTAAAATGAAGTTCAGGGGTGCCTGGGTAGCTCAGCTGGTGAAGCGTCCGACTTGGGCTCAGGTAGTGATCTCACAGTTTGTGGGTTCCAGCCCCGCGTAGGGCTCTGTGCTGACAGCTCGGAGCCTGGAGCCTGTTTCCGATTCTGTGTCTCCCTCTCTCTCTGACCCTGCCCTGCTTACAGTCTGTGTCTCTCTCAAAAATAAGTAAACGTTAAAACAGAAACTTAAGCCACTGGCACAAAATGACCTGGGTGGGTCCCCCAAGGTCAGGCTCTGCCCGCGGAGCAGAGGCACCATCCTTCCTTAGAGCTGCTTTCCGCGGGCACGAGAGCTTCCTTTTGCCCCCAGCACGTCCTGCCCTGGAGTCTTGAGGCTGATGGGCTGTGGGATCGCGGGGAATGGCTTCTGCAGGTGCGGGCGTGGGGGCTGGCCGGTGGGGCACCCCATCCCCGGGGCGATCCTGCCGTCGGGTCTGTCCTGGGGCCCGAGGGGCTCTCCTGCCCACATGGCTCCTCGGCGGGGAGCCGGGTCTGCCCTCGCCCCCTGTCCCAGTGCCGCTGCTCCTCGCCCCTCCCAGCCGAGCGCGGGGCCTGCGAGGCTCCCCGGCTCCCGGCCACCTGCGCCCCACCCGCAGCCCCCGGAGGAAGTGCCGAGCAGATGGTTACGGTGCGCGTGTCCCTGCGGAGTAGGATCTAAGTTCTCGGTTCTGTCAAAGGGGGATAACGCGGCTTTGTTCACTGTTAACCAACCCCCCCCCACCGTGAGGACCCCGATCTCTTCTGGGACCCGTGTACACAACGGGGGGGGAAACCGGCCTGCACGGATGCCTGCGGTAGGCGGCCGACGCGTACTTGTGCAGAGATAACCCCACCTCAGGCGTGGAAGGGAAATTTAGGAAAACCCGAGTGTATTTAAGTGCGTAGCATGTTGGTCTTTGAGTGACTCGCCTTCCCTCACGAGGCACCGCCGTCCCCCCCATGCCCCTCGCCCCGCCCCCGCCCCGGCCCTGCCCCACGCGAGGCTTCTGCGGCTCTAGATCGCAGAAAGGACACGCCAGGCCGCCGTGCCCCCCATGCCCCTCGCCCCTTGCCCCCGTCCCGGGACGCTGGGGCGCAGTGCTGCAGGGTGGGGCGGGGGCCAGGCGGGTGCGGCTGGAAGAGGGGCTGCCGCAGGGGAGTGGATTGTAGGGGCCGAGCTGTCCGCTCCCGCACTGTGAGCCCGTGCGGTCTCCCCCGTGCAGGCCTGCGGCTGCGCGCCCCCTGCAGCGGCCTCGTGCGTTTCCTGACGCGTCCCGGCCGCAGGGACGTCGTGCGTGGCGTTGGCAGGAACGGCGCCGCCCGAGAGCCGCTCTCACAGCTGAAACCGCTTCGTCCCGGGAGAGATTTAGATGTCAGATGCCGTCGTTTACGGTAACTAGGACCCAACACAGTACCTGCTGCAGTGCTCAAATGAGGGGTCATGTGAGCTCACTGACACTGAGGCACCCCAACATACTAATTGCCAAAAAGTAAACATTTCATTACAGAGAAAGATATCTTCTACTCTGTGGGTTCTGTGAAATATGAAAGAAAAATACTTTCTTTTTTTTAGGTTGTCCTGGTGCCAAAAAGAATGAGTTTCTGACGAGCATTCTGGACGCGCTGTCCACCGACATGGTGCACGCCGTGTCCGACCCCTCCTCGGGCAGGTACGCGGCACTTGACGACGGAGCGCGGGTCCGAGAAGACCCGGTGACCCCCCGGCTAGAAGCTGGTGCGGCGGCGAGGCATCCGAGGCGTGGTCAGCTTGGGAGCCCCCTCCCCAGACGTGGTCGGCTTAGGAGGACCCCGCGGGGCTCCCGGGAACGGAGGGGAGACGCCGCGGGAACGGAGGGGGGCCCTCGCGGGAACGGAGAAGGAGGAACCCTGCGGGCTCAAGGGAACGGAGGGGCGGAGCCTGCGGGGCCCCCAGGAAAGGGGTCCCCTCGCAGACTTCCTGTTGCCCCACGTGTCCGGAGGGCTCCGTCCCGCGAGCTTTCCCGGCGACGCGACAAAGCGGCCCGGCCGCGTGGCCCGGCGGGGGAGCCGGAAGCTGGGGTTTGGGTGGCGGCGCCAGGCTTGCTGGGTGGGAGGAGGGAGAGGAACGGAAAGCCGGGCCCCGGTTCCCCCGGCTTCGCCTTGGAATTGCTTTTCAGAGCCATCGAGTGGATTTTACTACTTTGAATTAAAATGGTTGATTTCAGGTTTTCAAAATAGCCTGTGTCTACTGTAGAGAAATCCGTACAAGATGCCAGCATGAGGTTTACCGTCTCAGGTGTGCAGTCCGGGGCGTTGTTGGCACTGCCGCCACCCACGGTGGCCGCGAAGTCGGGGCGTTGCTCTGGCGGCCGGCGGGGGCCCGGGGGTCTGGGGTCCGAGCCGCGCTTCCCCGCCCCCGGAGCGCCCTCGTGCCGGGTCCCCTCCCGAAACTAGCCGCGGGGCCGGGCCCCCAGCGCTGCCCCCCTCCCCACAAGAACCAGTAATTTATCTCTTTATTCCAAGAGCTTTTTCTGAGGGAGAATCTTCGAGTCATTCTTTCCTTAGGGCGCTGTCCTCCCTCCTGATTACCTGGTCTCTTCTGGGTGATCGAAGGCGGGGCCTCCTCGGCCTCAGGGCGCCTCTCTCTCCCTCCCTCTCTCCCTCTTTCCCTCCCTCCCTCCCTCTCTCTCTCCCCCCCTCTCCCCCCTCCCCCTCCCCCCTCCCTTTCTCTATTTCTCTTTCTCTCTTTCCTTAAGAGTAAGATTTGAGAGGAGAAAAAAGGGCAATGCTCATGGAGAAATGTTACAATCGGGCAGTAAATTAAGCTTAAAAACGCAGGAAAAAAATCACCTACGTTTTAACTTGACATATTTTTGGAAAGATTGCTCTAATCTGAAAAACTAAAATTGAAGGTAGTAAATGAACTCTCTGAGAAGAAAATTCCGCAGCGCTCCAATGCGCCGGAGCCTGGAACTTTCCACCTCAGTCAGGGGTCACGCCCCGGGGGCACAGACCCTCCAAACCGGGAGATTCCAGACACCGGGAGCCGGGGGACAAGGGCCAGTGGCGCAGTTTAACGTCTGGAACGTTTTCTGAGATTTGACTCAAAGCCAGACCTTCTAGGAGAGTTTTAGTTATTTTTATCTTAAAATATCAAACTCCTCTCTAATCCAAGGGAAGACGTCTGGTTGCCACTTTAAGCTGCACTTTTATTGCGTCCTGCGGTGTCCCTGCGGGGTACGGTGGGATGCCCGAGAGTCACACCTAAAGGAGTCGGGAACCTTGGGGCCCCAGTGTCTGTAGAGGCCGTGGATGTGCGAGCTGACCTGAACCCGAGTCTCGGGGGCGCCTGCCCTCACTGGAGGGTGTGGACCCGTTCCACACCGACTGTGTCATTCACAGGCATAAATGCTTTGTGTCATTTGCAATTTTGAAACCAAGTTGAAGTATTGTTGCCGTGCCTCCCGGAGGCACTCAGGAATGGGGCGGGGGCGGCCCTGCCTCCCGGAGGTGGGCGGGGCAGGGAGGCGGACGGGG